TACTAGTTTACTCATTTACTACCAGTTATTCATTTTTGTATTTTAAATTTAATTAATGTTTATTTGTTGGTAAAAAAATAATAATATATGGTATTTGAATATCCATTATAGTTACTACTACGAGTATTTTCTCAGTAGATTCAGATACTAAGTTAATACACATAATTGAATAAAGTTACTCCAGTTAACTGCGTGGAGCTTACAAATTAGATATGAAGAGGATATTTTATTCAAGAAGATATGGTATATATAAAATATATTTCTTCTTAATTAGTTTAATGAGACATATTAATTTTTATACATTATACTATAGTGTTTATGTGAGTTCAGAACAAAAAACAATATCTAAGTGATCCACTTAGGCCTATTGTGTAACTGTATATAGAGGAAACTCAGGGTTTAAAATCACCAAAAACCTTTGACGAAGCTTTGAATGCTGTTTAGTGGGAGTTGTTGTAATTGATCAAGATCCTCAAGAAAAGGGGGCTCCTCAAGTGTTGAGTTGCCATTGTGCATGAGCTGTGCAATGACAGAGTAGATGATAGATTCTCCTATCGTCTACCCCCACAGCTGCGACAGGTATGTTTGAAAGGAAAATTCAATCTTCTAGCATGGCTCTCTAATCTGCAGTGGAAGTTAGACTACTAATTCAATAACTGAAATCTTTTTAGAAACGCACCAACATATGGTACGCAAATATGTCTAGAACTGAAAATAGTATTAGAGCCAGAGTATTTGGGTCAAGAACCAAATATGTGAAATTTAGCAAATGTATCCCAACATTTACTAAGAAAAAGTATCCAAGAAGAAATACTAGCCACTGAAACGTCACTATACTCGTATGAAGTATGGGGCACTCCAATATTTTCTTATTTTCTTGTTAGACTGGTTTAATATGTTTTTTGGACAGCCTATCTGTTGAAATGATTGAAATCGGTTTATTATTGTATAATGCATTGTTACTGAAAATAAACTCATATACGAGTATACGGTCAAAAATGCTTAGCGTAGGACTTAATAAGGGTTCCGGAGATCCCAAGAAAAGAATAAATATGCTTAGGTTAGTAGATTAGTGTTGTGATTAGATTATTATGTTAGTAGTGGAATAATGAATGATGAGTGGTGAGATTAGTATGGTGTGGAATAGGATAATATAAATAGAGGAGAATGTAAGAAAGATATGGGAAAACATATTGCTGTTTATTTTGAGACAATTGAAAAGATGACGTGTGAAGTTGTAGTTTGCGAAGGAATAGGAATACGTGATTATTTACTGTCAGATCAGCTCAGATTTCAATTGAATGGCTTTTATTAGCAAATTTTAAATTATTCTGTTTAAGTTGTATTAAATTAATTAAATTATTTATTTTAGTTTGAATTTTTAAAAACTCTTTTTAAAAATAGTATGTACTGTTGAGTTTCATATAAATAAAAAACGTGATATAAATAATATCTTCCAATTAAATAATATAAACACAAGGCATATTTCTTAGTACAAGAAAGAAGCTTATTTAATATATCAAGTAAGATATAGGTTATTACACAATAATCCAAGACTTTCACGTTAATTTTCTCAATATAACTTGAATAAAGGAGAGAAGTCAGCTTAATATTTCTCTATGAATTTTAAGTTCTTTCGGAGAGAGAAGTTTGGGGTTCACTTGACGATTACTGTTATCTCGTATGTGATTTGTCACAATTAATTGCTGCCCGTTAATTGCTTACTTGTCATACATTTTTTTGTTAAAAAGTTGATTTGTTGTCGATTTGAGTCACAAAGTCAGTCATTCGAACTTGAAGAATTTCCCAACCTATGCATGTTTCATCGACTTATCTCTGCTATTGCAAAGTGCAGCAAGATTCTGTATGCAAATGAGTCAGGCTCTAGTAATTTAAACTGTGTTTATGCTTCCGTACTTTATTTATATATAATATGCATTTATTTTTTTTTTTAGTGTTAACGTTGTCATTTAGTATTTCGTTAAAAAATTATAAATAAATAAACAAAATGTAAATTACGCATACCTCAATTATTTTCATATAAAAAGTCTTTGTGTGTTATTTTATGTGAATTTTATTTTTATTTTAGCATTTATTTCAATTTGCTACAGTTTCACTTTCAAAGCAGAACAGCGAATTTTGGTTTCTGATAAATAACACCGTGCTTCATACGTCTCCCTTCCCTTCCCTTTCCATCGCTTGTGTGTTATAAACGCAGTTGTTAAGTGTTTTTTTCGGAAGAATACGCGAAGTCTACATATGTAATATAACCCAACACCGTCTTTGTCCAGACTTCTTGAGTTCGCGCGATTCTTCAGCACTTCAATTAAGCACACTTCGAAAGTGTGCTGAGCGTTTTACTGCTCAGGCTGCATGACCTAACTTTACATAAATATACACATGTATATATATATATTCTCTATACTGAAGACATGGATATATGTATGTATGAGACTCTTTTTATTCGTGATATTTTTGTAATTAAAGCTCCGTTGTAGGTGCTCATTTTTCTATTTTGTATACCGAATTTTCTCCGCTTGTATAGCTGCTCATAGGTAGGTTTAGTCTGAATTTCTTTTTGTTTAGCTTTTATTGCCTCTTCCTCTGCCTGTGCCTTCTCTTATTGTTTAAATTTTATATAAGTTTCATTTCTTTCACAATTGTATCTTTTCTTTGAAAGTTAATAGCAAGCACATTACTTATTGCGCTGCGCTTCCGCTTGTTCTTTTGCAAACTATTTATAGTTGCTTTAGCTGCGACCATTTATATCAAATTGCAACTTATGAAGTGTCGACTTACACTTCGACTAGAGGCAATCCAAACGTTGTGGACTTTCTACTTTTTGCATTGTGAAAATGGGTCTGTGCAAAGTTTGAACTCAAGCCACGGAGCTGAGCCGAAATGGCAAAACATTCGAATTGTTTGCTATTTGAACTAAATTCAAATAGATTTTTTTTTTGTTGAAAAATATCTACATTTTAATCAGCCATTAAGTTTTTACAAAGAAATATATATTTAAATATTTTTATAATAAATATTCCTTCATTCAGACATTAATATTTTATGACTTCCTCCATTCATAAAGTACAAATTGCTGTATTCACTTACTAACACATTTGATATGTTTTAAAATATATTGAATGGAGGCTGTATAAAGAGTACACATATTTATATATATTCTTAAACAAATCGACTAATTGAATTGAACTAGCCATGTATGAGTGTCTCCTGGGTTTAATAACTATTCATTCAGTTCTCAACTAAATACATTACGATTTGATTTTAGATTATTTCTAGAATGGATTTTATGTTGTTTCTTTTGAATGGTTTTGCAATGATGTACGGCAATCAGTTATAGATGACATATCCAATCCCGACTTGATACAAATTCAACGATTCCAAAAGACTAGGTACATTCTTATCGCATGTCAAACCATAAAATAATCATCGTCGTCGATGACCTTCTCTGCAGGGGAGAGAAGATCTGGGTTTTCACAAACCTGTAAATCGTGTACTTACTAAAGTACTAACGGGGGGGTTGTTTCCTTGAATCGATACTTTAACGGTTTAACGACTTTCCAACAAATGGATAATGAAGAAGTTGCCATAACAAAGGAGAAATATAATGCATTATTCACTTTCTATGCTTTTGTCTTAGACTACAGACGTAGTGATGTCTTATACCACGTTTATGCTTTGACTCGATAAGGATAACCAAAGTAGATTTGTCGGCTCTCCTAAGCTTTGTTCAGAAGAGAATACCATAAGATAACAATTGTTAGTCTAAGTCACTTATTTTGTGCAAATTTGAGCGCAATAGATGTTTCCTATGGGTAGTGCTAAAAGTTGTTTCACCTTGCCAATGTATAACTTTTTGAAAATTAAAAATATTTTCAACTAGTAACCCTTTTCTTAAGGTCTTAACATAACTTTAATTATTATTAGAGACATAGCAAAATTTATAAACTTATCAGGTTGGTAAGGTAAACTGATATTTTAATATGAGGGTATATCAATCTCGTAGCTAGAAATTTAATTTTACTTCCAGATAAAATACTGAATCGACTATACTTTGCATGACATGATGCATTGATAATAAATACACATATATATGTATATATATGGTTCTTTGATTTTGACTATATATTTCCGGTTTATGATCTTGATATAGAAGTGTGCTTCTTTCTTCATTTGAAATGAAACACTGATCCTATATACTATTTATTACTGATGGCTTTTCCCTTGTCAAGCTGAGCGACGATTATAGATTGCATATTTAATCGCTTTAGTGACAATAATGGACAGTAATATCACCTATTCGTTTCACATAATACCTATTTTCCTCTTGAGTTGTATTTATTTTTCAGTTTATAGATCGAATAATGATGCTAGTATACTTGATAATAATGATAATAACAGCACTATATTGTAAAATATAGTATAATTTAACATCGGTATAGAAGACGGTGGGAAGTGTGATAACATGCACTCGTTTTATAGATATAATTTCATTATATATTATAAAATATGAAGGAATTCCAAATATTTTTTGTAAATCATGTGACTTCAGTGGGGGAAATTAGTTTAATTTGCATAAAACTTAAACTTGTCATCTCTTGGAACAAATTAGGCAGCAACAAAATTAGCAATTCTGTTATCTTCGCAAATTGTTTAAAAAAAATTTATTTGTGTAATTTTGTTGATAGCAGTTGTTGTTTCTGTTGTTGTTGTAGTTAAACAAATGTATCTATAATTGTCGGGAATGTAGATTAAAGTAATCAACGACTGAAACAAAACGCTCGCTCGTATCTCGTATGTTTTTTTTAGATACTTTTAGAAACTCTTATGTGTGCGGCTTGGCGATCCGATCGTGATCATCTTTATCGTCTTTCTTGTTAGCGAATATGTTATTAATTGTTTAACTAAATAAATAAAAGTGAACAAGTTTCTTACTAATTTAGATATTTATTAATTTTTTCATATTCTATTTCTATTTGCAGAAGGAGGAGGAAAGCAAAAAGCGTGAGGAAGATCGTGTAAAAGAATTGAGGAAGCTAACAACGTTCAAAGCTCGTCCAAATCCATTCAAATAAAATATTTTTTTTTTATTTAATACACATTTTACGAACAAAAACAATAACTAACAAAAATGTTAAAATTTTTAAGATATTTAAATTTTTTTAATAACATTTTATTTCTTTTAATGCATATTTAAATTTTAATTCCGTCACTATTATTAAAACTAAACAAAAGTAATTAGACTTAATCTTACAAAAAAAAAACATTAAGTAATTTAAAAATATCTACAAAATATCAAATATTTGTCAATTTTATATTTTATAATATGTAATAATACCTACTTTTAAATAAAATAAAATTTGCAACAAAATATAAAGAAAAGAAAATTATTCATTTTTATTTTATTGCAAAAAAAAAATAAACAAAAAAATTATTAAATAATTATACTAATCAAACAAATAAAATAAATTAAAAATTAATTTTTGTGCGTCTGCGTCCATATAAAAATTAATTGAATTTAAAATTTAATTTATTTACATAAAGATTTAAATATGTTTAATTTCACCCCAAATGAAATGGTTTTCCTTATAATTTGTTTTTAAGTTTATTGCATTTTAATTATTAAATTTAGAAATACTACTAATTAACAAGAAATGTATTAAAATTTCGTCTAGGCAATATAAATATAAATTTTTACTGTTAATAAAATTGTGAAATGTTATTACTTATATAATATCTATATAAATATATATATAAATTTATTAAATTTGTATAATATTGAAATAAATAATTATTTTTTACAAAATTTGGAACATTCTATTAAATTTTAAAATATGAAATTAACTTGATCGGTAATATAGTAATCCTCCATATAACGCGTTCATAATTAGCTTTGTGTACCTTTTCACGTGTGTATACGTGGTATATGGGAATACCCCTATAATGTGGAACCAATCAACCGCATTATAGGGGGATTACTGTATGGAGCAGGGCTGTTGTTCAGACGAGGTGCGATCGCAGGCCGATACAAATCACTGTACAGATTGGAGGGTCACAGAAACAAATACATACTTTCATAGTTGTTTTGGAGGAAAGTAAAAATACGGTTATTAATAAATAAATATTAAATTTTGTTTTATTAATTTGTTAATATAAAACACATTCATTTGGTATAGCATAAAAATAAAATAATGTAAGTTTACCAAAGCACACCAAAAGAAAATTTGTCTAATTGTGGTAGATTAAAACATGTTGCGGTGGGTCATGCTTTTGGCAGCCCTGATGAAGAGTACTAGCTATTGAAAATAAGTTATAATAAGTATTTAAAAGTCATTTAAATTGTATTTTCAAAATTGAAAAAGAATTTTAGAAATTGAAATAAGAATTTAAAACCTTAAAAAAGTTAATAGTTTTGAAAAAAGACTGGATTCAATATGTACCTTTAATATGGATGTAATAATCCACTTATTACAAGATCGTGTGGACTGGCTTCAATTTATTGTAATTATAAAAGTATTACAATTTTTCAAAATGAGTGCTTCAGTTGGCTCTTGCGTGACATTTATAGCCATTATTTTTCAATAAATACAATTTATTAAAAAAAACGCCATTAATTAAAGCTTGAGCGGGATATGACACTGGTTAAGTCAACATTCTAAAGAACTACTTTTAATGTTCGCAACTGCCAAAATATCCAGATATTCACTAGGAGCAGATAAAAAGACAGACAAAGGGGCATAGATTAATATTATGCTATGATATCTAATGCGATATTATAGTTAAACACAGATTCTAACATTCTTTATGTTTCTGCAATTTGTAGTTCTTCTTGATATACGTAATAAGTAATAAATATGAAAGCAAATTCATTGGGGGTATTCTTCTTGCACTTTCGTAACAATATTAAATTCATTGCTATTAAACCACATATTACCAGCTAATGTATTCGTCATTTTGCGATGCAAGGAGTCCATATGGCTCATATTTCCGATAGTGTCTACAGCTTTTCTAAGAAGGTGCCTGCTATCAACCCTGATACGAAATCGTGGTTGAATATATTGAAGCTTTAAATAGTTATACATATATATTTATATTATATATTGTTATATTATATATTTATACATTATATATTTGTAAAATTATATATTATTTTTGTAATTGTTATGACCGATTGCTCAAGCACCACGATTTGACAATGGCAATTTTTTCTCTTCACTATATATTGATTAAAAAGTGTAGAATATTTGAAACTTAAAAAATTGTTGAACTAATTATTAACTTATTTCAAATATAAAGTAAACAACCAACAACCAATGTCCATTTACATCAGGAAAAAAATGGTTAATGTAAAGCAAAACTGCCAAATGAACGATGTTTTCAATTCCAATCTTTATATCTACAGTTCATAGTACTGTGCTTCCGTTCTATCGTACAATCACACATACATACCTGTACTACCATACATACATAATTCATTTGTGAGTTTTAATATGGATTATATTCAATATTCCAATGCCTTCACACTTGCGACCCTTCAATTGCTATGGTACCCCAATGGCGATCTGTAATAAGGTTCATTGAAAGTTTCTTCTCATCGCCATTAATTTATTTTACTACATTCATCATTATTCAGATTTAAGTATGCTTACTGGTTGTTGGATCTACCTTACGATCCATATCGTAAGCAATAATATGCCTTAAGAGGGTTTAAAGGTATGAAGAGTCGAAATCATATGGTAGTTAAAATCTATCATTAATTGTGGATAAAATTTTTTAACATTTCTTATGCATATGTTGCAGTTAAATGGAATTATAAATATGTACAAGGAACGTTATTTCTATTAGGTAATTATTCAAAAAAAAAAAATTAATTGTACACAATGTAAATGTTAACTAAGGTTTGAGTGCCGTGCCTATTTGATAGTTATTTGACGTTGAAGTCAGCTAGACCTAAAATGATTATTTAAAGCAAATGTTATTGATTATTGTAATTCCATTTTTCTTAAATAGCTTAAACTAATTAATCTTAATAAAAAACAAAAACAATTATTTCGGAAATGAAAAAATGTGTTTATTTTGCTGTTGCAACGTCACTACAGGCGCTATGTTTTAAAACATATAAAAAAAACTTTAGAAGTTGCCATCAACACCCCATGAGTTCTTAACACCATCGTCATTCCAATCTTCAGTACCTCCAACATTTTCAGCAGCAACTTCTTCAGCCCAGTTGGTTGCTTCTTCGACGGGATGTTCGGGAATCTCTTCAATTTTAGCTGCTGGTATAAGTTCTTTAGCAGCAGCTTCTTCCTTCTCAGCTTCTTCTGGATCACGGTAGAAGAACAAATCTACTACAACGGACCAATCGACATTACGTGAGATGGTACCACGTAAGCGGAGCACTTCACGCGACAATAACCACCACATCAAACCAATTGAGTGTGGAGATTTGTTGTTGCATGGAATAGCGATATCAATATAACGCAACGGTGAATCAGTATTGCAGAAGGCAATAACTGGAATGTTGACATAAGATGCTTCCATGATGGGTTGGTGATCGGTGTTTGGATCAGTAACAACCAATAGGCGTGGTTCACGGAAAGCTGATTGAATTTGATTTGTAAATGCACCAGGAGTGAAACGACCAGCAATTGGTGTAGTGTCGGTATACTTAGCAAATTTAAGTACAGCACGTTGACCAATTGGACGAGAGGAAATAACGTACACCTGCAGGTAAAATGAAAATATATCAATATATGCTTTAAAAGACACATAGTGTATATATGTTTATTTTGATCAGCGTTGTGTTTGACTTCATTAGATTTCAGACCCGAAAGATAACAATAGTCATCATATAAAATTCTAATTTATTATTAAAAACTAATTTTATTTTATAACTTACATCTTGTGCATGCTCGATGGCAGCAATAGCGCGTGCAGCCAACATCAACTTTTCCCAGGTCTTGCCCAAGTTGATGATGTTGATGCCATCAGGGCGGCGCTTGTAAACGTATTGTTCCATTTGGAAGTTCACGTTCTCAGAACCCAAATGGGTGGTAGCAACCAACATTTTAGTAATATCATCCTCTTTAAGGGATAGTATATCTAAGCCTCCCGACATTTTAACGTATTTAGAGTTACGGAACCTGAAAATTAAAAATTTTACTTTATACATTTAACATAACCTCAATAGTTGTAGACATGACGCCGCCACGTGTCATAGTTACAATTGTTAACAATCAACATTTTAAGAATAATAAATATAATTTACAACATTTTAAACAATTTTAACAAATTAAATTGTCAATATTTTTTATACTTTTAAGAACTTATAGCATTTAAAAAAAATTTGCGTGGACTTACGTTGTCGATGCCACTGGGAGCGATAACGAAATGGCAGAGAAACATGTTTCCACGATTGACAACGACGTTACGTTTTATTGTTGCATGACGTATTAAGTGACAGCCGTAATAACAGAATGGGAACAGTTAAGGGGGCATTCACAATAAATGCTGGAATTATAAACTGTGAATGTTAGATTTGATATATAAAATTTAAAGATTCACTAAAATATTTACTTGTTTTATTGCATTATTTGATGTGTAGTCTCATTTCGTAATAAGAATGTTTAACTAATCAATTTATTTTAATTGAGAACTAACTATATATGTAAAAAAAAAAATAAAATGAAATTATTTCATTGACAATAAGTTGTACAAAATTTTACATCATTTAGCTTTATTTATTTCAATATTTATTAATACTATTGCAGCACTAAAAATAATGTTCTGTGTCTACAACCTCCTTTAAAATAATTATCTTCCATATTTTTTAAGACCACAACAGTATATATGTATATATGAGTATACGGTTTGTTTAGAGTCAGAGTGTAGCCAGGAAGCTATGCAGAAGATGGCAAACAAAATAACTAATGACATCATTATAATCAATGAAGCTCTATAATATGTTATTATTATATCAATTACAACACATTATTACGGTGGATCTATCACATTTTCGGCGTTGACTGTATACTGATTTAAATCTATGTACGTACCAATGCTAATCCTGTGGTACCATAATGGGCCATCATTTGAGCTCGGGCACATTTTTATTTTAGACTACTGCGTTCATGCCTTGCTATATTAGTTGCTTATGTGAATTACTTTAGTATGATTAAACAGAAAATTATTCAAATATTCAATAAAATTATTTAGTTAATAATCATTTATTTTGAGATATTTTAATTTACATTTAAATTTCTATTTAATTTGATAAATTTATTTGCATCAAGTTCATCAACGTGGCTTTCTAGGAAATTGCATTTTACTTATAAATTCTTCATAGGTTATTTTGTCACCATCGCCAAGCCCAGCGTCTTTGATGATTTCATGGAATTCTTCATCAGTCAAGGTTATACCCGTTGATTTAATAATAGAAATTAGATCAGATTTCAGGACATAGGTTTCATCACTTTTATTTAATAAGCGAAAAGCTTCACGAATTTCCTTTTTGTATTCATCGTCACAAATTCTACGTGGTATTTTTAAAATATTTTTATGCAAGTTACTCAAAGAGCTGCTATTAGCATGCATATCTTCAATTAAGGCTTGTAACTCATCTTCAGATGTTTTCACACCAAGGGAATGTATAATAGTACCCAATTCGTGACTCGTAAGAGTGGCCATGTTACTCTTAGCAGTGTTAATAATTTCTTTAGCGATTTTTTGGATTAAAGTTGGGCTAAAAATATAATTTTTAAATTAATAATTGAAAATAATAAATTTTATGTATAATATATAAATAAACAATGAATATTACCTTGGCTTCTCCATATTTGCTGAACACAAAAATTAACTGAACACAAAACAAACGCTTGCAATGTTTAAATGGTTGCCGCGCACAAAAAGAAAGTGAGGAAATGGAAAACGTCAAAAAATAAAGCAAAAACTTTCAAGTTATACCGTACGAAGGGCTATTGAGAACATATTGGTTCTGCATATAATTTGCATTTTTAATTGCCTGTCAAATGTTTATATTGGCCTTTTTTTATTTATTATGTTTAAATATTATTAAATTTTTTCCTTTGAATTTAGGGTTATATTATTATATTTTACATTATTATATATAATATATAAAATTATTATATATATTATTATTTTATTATATTATTATTTTTATTAATTTCTCCCACAGTCTTGCAAGGCCAGGATCTGACATTCAAATCTGTGGACCGTAGCCATATTGTGGATTAAGTTGATCCACAACTAGGTGTCTGACTGATAGATGGTTTTCAGCCGAGAGAAAGCGTCAGGCTAAAGAGTGGCCACGACGGGTCACCATGGTCTGCGGTATCAGTTTAACAAAATGGGTTTGTCCAAAATTTGGTAGTGACCCTAGAATTGTCAGCTGATTCGAGATATTTATCTTTGTTTTTACTTGAGTTTTTTTTGTTATCTATTTCTATTTTTAAATCATTTGGTCCTACAGACACTGTAAAATAGATGCGATAAGTCAAAATATAATGGGCCAATAAACACAGCAGCTTCTTTTGCACGCTTAAGGAAATACATAGAATGTAATTGATGGATTAAATAAATAAAACAGGACGTATTATCTGCAAGAACATAAACTTAATGTCAGTCAGTTTAATATAATGACATGTTTCATTGCTTGGATATATTTAAGATTACATTTAAATGAAAAATCGCCAGTTCATTCAATTTTCAATTTGCTATTTAAATAATACTAAAAATCATATTTTATATTCTAGTCAAACGTTTTATTTTTTAAATTGAAATTTTTAAATTAATCTGTAATTCACATTAAGAACTCCATTATTTGGTTTGTTATTACCAATTGGTTATTTGGTGATGATTTTTGCAATGAAGTCATCACACGTTATTTTACCATCGTCATCTACACCAGAGCACTGGATAACAGCACTTATATCTCGATCACTCAACGTCATATCAAGTAACTTCATTATGGAAATTACATCAGAAGTTAGTATATAACCTTTACCTTCTCTATCTAGTAAATGAAAAGCTTCTTGAACTCTCATCACAGACTTAGAGATATTGATCTTAGCATTTTTAACTGGTTCTTCAGGTAAGCGATCAGCCATTCTTTGGTAGTTCTAACCACAATTTTATTAAAAATATATCATTTGAAATGAAGGAACTATAAAATATATAAAGATATTTCAAATATATCTGTATATTTGTGAACAATATGTGTAGTAATATAAAGTGTTTATTAATATATTTTAATTTTAATGTGATATATAAATATTTTAGAAATTAATTTTGAAATGTCAGAATATTACGTTACTACATTTGTGTACTAAGTTGCATAAACATTTAACAATAACACCTACAAAAATCAGTACTGAACATTATAATATCAATCCACTTTCATTCAGATTCTCTTCCGATTGTATCCACATACTATTGCACTTATATTGAATTTAAGTGATCTCTGTTCAATGATTAAATGGTGCTATGACGGAATATGCTATGCCTATCGTTTAGTATTTAATGAAGCAACTTTTGACTCGAGCCGCAAAGAAAAAAAATGAGTGGTAGGTGATGCAGATCTAAGAGGAGTTTAGTTGCAAGAACGACTAGCATGTTTCTGTGGTAAACACAACTGCTTACTAAAGAACATTAGGTCTATGGTCATATCCAGAGAATTATAAGGTAGCTTAGCAGACTGAGTTTCAGATCACTTAACTTTTGGTTAGATATGGGTGCTTTCGGTAATATTTAAAATTATTGTTAGTTTGTTTTGCACAATATGTGTCGTAACTTAAAGCGCAAAATATATATTTTTAAGATGACCATTAAAATTTTATTAAACGCATTTAAAAATTACTAATACTAAATTTAATTTTCTAAGATGTCTAATTCGCGGTTGATATTCAAAAACTATACAGCTTAGTCAATCTGCATATATTTGCTTAATGCAATAATTCACATTTAGTGATTTTATTTCTTACGAGTAATTATGTTTAAGTGCGGTGTAGGATATCATTTTTGGATGTCATACAAGTTGCGCTCTCTCTTGTTTGATTTTTTTCTAGCAAAATTTCTGAAGATAAGGGTGTTTGCGCACATTATAAGTGTGTAAGTGCAACCACGCAAAAATATGCTCTTGCATGACAAATGCAAATTTCTGGATGACAGATTACCATTCACAACATGTTGGCGAGAAGCTGAATGATGTGCTCACCAAAATTTTGGTTGTTGGTTGCGTGTCATTCAAAGGCGCAGACTATCATTTTTGAGTGTCATTCATGGATTTTTTCTCTTTAATGACACTCAAAATAGTCTGCATGTTAGTCTGCATAGTTCTTTAGGGAATTATAGTATGTTGAGTTTTAACTGTGGTGAATTTAAAATCAAGACTTACTTTCACCTCATTCAATGTTTTGCGCCGATTTTTGATTGTTATATATCTTCATTCTTAGAAAATGCATATTGCATATTTGCTTTGTTGAAAATAAAAATAAAACTTACTTTTTTATAATTTTTTGTATACATTTATTGCATTGTTACTGCCTCCAGTGTCTACCACAACAATTTAGTTTAAAGTTTTCTCTTAATTATTATTAGTTAATGTTTTGTTTTTTTTGTTTAAATGATTTTTATTATTTTTATTATTTTTATTATTTTTAATGCATTTTTTATATATAATTTTTTTAGAACAATTACACAATGTTTAATGCGCATGAATTAAAACATTTATTTATATAATTTGTTTAAATTTGCTTGTTGCTCTTGTTTTAATAAATTATTTTATATGAAATTAACAAAATGTATAACAGATTTAATGTGTTTACTTGTTGTTGTTTTGCTTAAATGTTTATATGTGAATATGCAGCATACACACAGATTACAACAAAATTTCGAACACATTTATATATATATATATATTTCTATATATTTATTTTTTGTTTACTGTATAATTTTATTAATTTTTGACTTAAGAGTTAAGAAAAAAAAATATTAATAATTTTATGTATATATACATATATATATATATATATTTGTTCACAACAAAAAAATATATTAACATACTTTAATATTTTTGCTGACAAATTTTATATATTTTTTACATTTAATTTTGTGTCACATATATTTGTTTTTGTTTTTATTTTTGTGTTTGTTTTTTATATATAATTTTTTGTTTTAAATGTTGTTGGTTTTTTCATTACTAACTACTTATATAATATAATGTTAACTTGTTTTGCTTTTTAATTTGTCAATAACGTTTCATATCGTTCATATACTTAATTTAATAATTTAGTTTTTAGTTTTTAATTTTTAAAGATTTGATGACAATTCCCGAAAATAGTTAAAAACATTTAGTAAAATTTTGAATTAAAAATATATATAAAATACATATACAAAACTTAAATTTTTTTTTTTGCAACTAAAAATAAATAGGTATTTAATTCTATATATATAATGAATATAATTCCATCAT